TATATATATATATATATATATATATATATATATATATATATATATATGTGTGTGTAAATACTAAAATAATTCTAATGTTTCTCCTTCGTGGTCTTTCACATATTGCGGTGGTGTGTGGAAAGTAACCCCATGATAATTTTTTTAGAGAATATAATCTAAATCCATCCAATGGTTCATGAGATATTTTGGCAACAGACAGACATACAAATGAACATGCATACACAGATTTAGAGCAATCAAATGAAAAAGATGCACTTTAGGAGAATTCAAAGTTAATTAAGAATGCCAACACCCACCCGCTCATGAAATCTCCAAAGATGTAAAGTCCGTTGAGGTTGGGCATCTGACAGCCTCTGTAGATGTATCCTCCTGTCACTGATTTGCCCAACTTGTGGGGGTAATCAAAGATGGGCAAGACATCGTCTGACGATGCACAAAAACAGAACAACAACACTTTATCCTTCTATATAAGTTTACAAAACATCAGCATATAGAATATGATCAATAATCCTTTTAGTTTAGGTCAAATTGATAAGACAACCTATGTTGCAATTTCCTAATCCAGTAATTCAGATTGTAAAATGGTTTAACTGAAGCTCTTCAGAGTAATCTCTGACAGATGACTCACCTAAAGAGGAGTTTAGACAGAGCTTTCGGTCGTAGCAGCTGAAGCCTTCTTTGGCCCTCCAGCCATAGTTTCCTCCTTTAAATGAGTGCAGTAACAATAAAGAATCATTATATGGTTGGAAAAGGAAACTCGGACTTTGTTTTTACAAGCTGTAATTTGGTGTTTATTTTATGCTCTCCTCAGAACTTTACAGAACCTGATCTTATTTACTTTAATTGTCAGGAAGCAGACAGGGCTGAAATCTGACTCAGTGTCTTTTTTTTGGGGGGTGGGGGGGTCATTTCTCGACATGAAAAATGATCAAGAGAAGAAAAAAACAAAAGTCACAGGAGACTAAAAGAGTTTTTTCTGCAAAAATGAGTCATTCTTTCAGCATTGTGAAAAGATTAATTTGGCATCTTGAGATTAAAACTTGGTTCTCATGACAATGACTTTATTAACATAATTCAGTTCAGTTTATTTATATTGCACCAAATCACAACAGAAGTTGTCTCAAGGCACTGAACAGAAACATTCACATACATAAAAATGCAAAGTTCTCTATCTAAGGAAGCAGCAGACTGTGTTGAATCTTTGCTTCGTCAGTCTCCCATCCTGAGCAAGCACCTAACTGTAGTGTTCTTCAAGAATTAACCTTTGTTTTTATTAGATGAGATTATTAGAACTCTTACTGACTAAATCCCTATTCTCACAGGATTAGTTTTTTCTTGGGACCACATGCTATTTGTTATAATTACATAGATTGTCCCATGTGAATTGGCCATGTCAGTAATTTGTAAAGTAAAAATTCCCCTACAAATTACCTACTATATTTTGCTGAACTCCAATGTCCTGTGATAATTTTTTCATTCAACCTTTATTTAGACAGGTAAATCCCATTGAGCCTCGAGGACTCATTTACAAGAGAGACCTGATTTCAACAAAGAATGATGACAACAATGGAGAACAGCGACAACAATAAACAGTTATAAAAAGTCATACAGATTTATATATATATATATATATTTTTAATAAGATGGCTAAAAAAGAAAAGTAACAAAAACCAGCTAGATTCTGAGGTGAATGTAGAAAACTAAAAACAGGAACATGTCTGTATTGGTCCCTGCCAGGAGTCCAACAGATTCTTAAAGCCACTTAAAGAGGTCAAGGTTGAAAGCTTCAGATCTTTTTGTAAGATATTCCAGGAAACAGGAGCAGAATAGGAGAAGGTCCTTTTGCCTAGTTCAGTCCTCACTGAGGGAACACTGCAGGTAATAATGTCCTGAGAGTGCACACTGTAGCTGCACTCACGCAGAGACATGTAGGAGGAGATGTATGAAGGCAACAGACCAAGAAGTGATTTAAAGATGAAAATGTACCAGTGAGAGAGTCTGCGTGAAGTTAATGATGTCCAGTTAACCAGTGAATACAGGGTGCAGTGGTGGGTATGATAATCACAGCCAGTTATGAATCTTAGTGCACGATGATAGACAGCATCCAACATCTGCAGGGTTCTTATAGGAGCGTTCATGTAAATAATGTCACCGTAATCAATGGAGGGGAGAAAAGTTACAGATGCAAGGCGTTTCTTAGCATTCAGAGTTAGACAGGATCTGTTTCTGAAAAAGAAACCCAGTTTAACTTTCAGTTTCTTTACCAAGTTTTCCACATGAAGCTTAAAAGAGAGATGTGAGTCAACCAAGATACCCAAATATTTTTAGGAATCAACAAACTCAGTCGGGACACCATTTGAGGATGAAATCAGAGGAAGAACTGCTGGGACCAACTTCCTATTTGAAAAAAGCATCCCTTTGGTTTTGTCAGCATTTAGGACAAGTTTGAGGTGGAACAAATCTGTCTGGATGTTGTGGAATGCAGATTTCAAAAGCTGGAAAGCCTTATCAACGGTTTTAGCTCAACAATAAACAACTGTGTCATCAGCATTGAAATGTATGGATGCATCAGGGATGTTTTTACCTACATTACGTATGTCGATTGTAAAGAGGGTGGGTCCTAAGACTGAGCCTTGTGGAACACCATTGTAATACTAATCCAATGTGAATAGGCATCTCTGTGATTTGGACAGAAATGGGTGGGATCTGATACGTAGTGAGGTGTGTGTGTGTGTGTGTGGGGGGGGGGGGGGGGTTGTTTCCTGGGTGCATTTTTATTTGCTTTTGGCAATGGAGGCTGCATTGGAGTGCATAAATAACCTTTTGTGTCCCGGACCAGCAAAAGCCTATCAGCCCATAACAGTCGCCAAAAAAAATTAATGGCTGAAGAGAAGGAGCAAAATCATATGCATTGCTCTGTGTGGTGAGAATACTTTTCTTCTGTTTGTAGACTACAATACAGCTGGCTATCTCTGGCAGTAACACAGCACCGAGCCGTGGTCGTAGCCTGAAAAGTAGTTTTAACATCAGCACATCATTCCTTGAGTCGATTGATAAACTATATACCAGAATTTAAAGAGACAGTAATTGTACTGTTACTAGCTACTCCTATACTACTACTACTACTACAAAACGCAATATGCACAGCGCGTTAACATCATATCCGGAATATGTCTATAACTTTCAGCTAAATCTCAGGCTTTGGTTATCCCGTGCGAATGGGCCACATAAAAAGCATATGTTGGGGAATAATTTATTTATTACATGTGGTCCCTTGGTAAAACTAATCCTGTGTGAATAGAGCTTTAATCTGTGTTTTTCTATTTTCTTTGAGTTTGTCTTGTCCATTTCCCCCTCGTGATTTATGTTTCTGTCTTCTGATCCTTGTGTGTTGACTCTTTGTTTCTGTGCCACTCATCACTCACACCAGTTTGTAATTATGAATCATCCCAGGTGCATTTATTTCTCCCTGTCCCTGTGTCCTACTGAAACCTCTCCTGTGCACCTCTCAATGTCGACTCGTTATTCTGAACCTTCAGACGTCTTGGTCCTCCCTATGTTTCCCCTCAGTCTGTCGTGTTCCTATTCACTCCATGTTTAATGTAAATTCTGCTGCCATGTCAGCCTTTTGTTTTTATTAATAAATCCATCTTTATTTTATGTCTTGCTCCCCGTGTCTGCCAGCACTTGGGTCCAACCGAACCGGACCGTGATGCTTATAACGTTGATAAAATTATGACAACAAGTTTTAGCACTCGGGATTTTTTTTCCATAACAAGTTAAAACAAATATGCATTGTTGGTTTTTTTTGCTGCAGCTGAGTTTTTGTACTTAAACAAACAATATATTGTTAAAGTAAGCAATATTTTATGTTCTTTGTCTAATTTCTTTTTGCTACATTTACTAAGATACTATTTATACGTGTCACCATGTCTCTTCTGACTACTTCGGGGGATGTTTTGATTATTTTCACCAGTACTACAAAAATATTAATCAGATTTTCCACAAAATAAATAAAAGCAGAAAAGAACAAGGCTGCTCTATCTTTTCAGAGAGAATTTCAAGCTAACACAGAAAAGAAAAAGTCAACGCTCTGACTTCATCCTACCTTTCACAATGAGGTCTATCTCTTCATATTTGTTCTGGCCCACGTCGCCACAGAACATCCTGCCGCTGCCTGCACCTGTAACCGGATCGCCGCGGTCAATGGAGCACCGCCACATGTTGCGAACGCCATACGCATAAATCTCTGCAATAACAAAGAGACGAGGAAGATGACAAGGCAAGTACAGTATATTCCTTAGGATGGAGGGAAAAATTATACAGAGGCTGTCTTTAAAATAACAAAGCCGAAGCAGGAGGATCCTGCTGTCATGTTTTTATTGGCTGTGTGAGCAAAATCAAACCATAGACTATGAGTTCTACTGCTACTTATTATTATTCTCTCTAAATTCAAAATGGTTAGAAGTACTCAAGTTATTCCAAAGATAAGAAGTTATGCAATTTACCAGGAAGTGCCCCTGCTTCCCCCAAGAATGGGTTGTCAGAGGGAATGCTGTAAGGAGCACCATCGTCATTGTTGTCCACGTCAATCCGCAGCACTTTGCCAAGAAGTACTGACCTGTTCAACATAAAGAAACAACAGAC